TTTCCAGTAGAGACTAGAGATGAATGGATAGTTAGCATGTCTATTAGACTTTCTCTATCAAACATCAGATATCGTAAACGAGCTTCTGAAAAGTGCTGGCTCTCATTCGATTCACAATAAAATCCTCTAACAAGAACTTAGAGTGCAGATAATCTCCATTGTGGATTAAAGTAAAACCCATAGATTTGGCCGCTGTGTGATACAGAGAGGTAAAGATGCCATCCTTCTGGGAACACTTAAGAATGGATCATTTACTGCCTTCTGAGGGAAACAGCCAAACCACTTGAGTACAAATATGATCAGACTATTATCCTCTCATTGGATGTCTTGGCATGGGGTGGTCTTTGGAGACCATACTCAATAGAAACTAGTGGGTGCTAGAATCCAAAAAGAATGATGATCCGAGAGTTGAATAGGAAGCCCAGTCAAGATGCAGAAAGAGAAGGTTTGAGAAAATGCCAGAAATTGATTTTATTGTTTATGCACGATATCAGTGGTACGGTGAAGTGTGGGCCAACCTCACCTAAAGAGCCAAAATAGAAAGACGGTGGATTTGTTTGGCTAAAGCTATGAACATGGGCAAGGTTTTTAATTAGTGAAAATCAACTTGTACTCAAGAAATTTTGGTGAAAGTACAATACAACCATGGTATGTGAAGGAAACTTTGTCGACTTTTCTGTGAGAGACAAACCCAAGAACCAGGAATCCAGCCTCCCGGTCATTCATTCAAATTCATGCATGCATATTCTTACTCATTTATGCATGTAAGCATTCATCTGTTTTTGGACTAGTTTGCATAGTAGGCTCCTATAGTATTTTTGAATGCATAAGTACACAGATTCATTAATTCATCCATGCACAAAGTCATTTATTCACGCATCCATGCAAGTTGGATTCAACTCCTTCATTTATGGGTTCTTAAAAGTATTCATTAATCTGTTCAACAAATTGCCATTTAAGATTTGCCATATGAAAGGCACTGAATTAAGCCATGTGTGGAATGAAGATGATTCCCCATCTTCATGGAATGTGCACTTAAGAGAGAGAGGGGACAAAAAAAGCAAAACAAAACAAAACAAAAAACCCAGGAGCATAAAAAAACATATTCACGCAAAACAAAACAAAGACCCATGAGTACAAAAAAATATAATATCGTAGATATTAGATCAATTAAAAGATACGGGTTGCAAGTAAAGCATTGTGGAAGGTCACAAGCAGGGAAGATTTACTTCCATTTGGGGCAGAGATATGGGGGGTGAGAAGAGTATCATTCCCCAGGAGGTGGTCTTTAAGCTGAAGCAGGATGAGTAGACAGGATGCGGACAGGATCAGCTAAGTCGGGGGAGCCATGAGTTGAGAAAATACACTGGCTCTGCTGAGGGGGACTAGGGTGTACGGTGGAGCACAGGGACCCGGGACACACGGGACGCTAACAGAGGCCTGCCAGACGGGAGAGCCAGCCCATGAGGGACCTTGAATGCCAAGCTGAGGATTTAGGACTTTATCCTGTAGGTGGTAGTGAGCTGCCGGAGGATTTGGGAGAGGAATTATACCTTCAGGAATGGACTTAAGGAGGTTTTCTTTGGCGGTCATGCACAGAGAGGCTGCAGAAGAGCTAAGAAGGTATTAGGGGAAGATACTGAGAGCCAGACCTGGACCCCTGAAAAAGGAGGAGGGGGGTGTGTGTGTGTGAGAGAGAGAGTGTATGAGTGTGCGTGAGGGTGGGTCAGAGTGAGGGTGACTGTGAGGACGTGAGAGAGTAGGAGTGTGTGTGAAAGAGGGCAGGTGTGAGGGTATGTGAGAGTGTGGGTGTGAGTGCGTGTGAGCATGAGGGTGTGTGTGAAAGGCTGTGACTGTGAGAGTGTAAGAGTAGGAGACAGCACGCGTGAAAGTGTGTGTATGAGTGTGTGTGTATGATTGTGTGACTATCTGGGGAACGGAGAGTACGTGTGAGTGTGTATGGGTGTGAGGGTGAGCGTGTGAGGATGCACGAGGGAGGCAGCGTGAGTGTGAGTGGGCGTGCATGAGTGTGCCAGAATGTGAGCCTCTGAGTGTGCGTGAGAGTGTATGTGAGTGTGCGAGACTGTGGGGGAGGGCACGTGGGTGTGGGAGTGGGGGCGGGGAGGAGGGCAGAGAGGGAAGGGGGTGGTGGGGGGGCGCCCGGGTCTCCGGGGAGGAGGGAGTCAAGGAAGAGGCGGGTGCTGCGAAGGGGGATGAGGGCGTGGGGCCCGGATCACACGCTGCGGCCCTGGATCCTGGGTCCTCGGTCCTCGGTCCTGAGTCCTTGGTCTTCGGTGCTCGGTTGTTGGTCCTGGGTCCTCGGTCCTCGGTCCTGGGTCCTTGGTCCTTGGTCCTGAGTCCTGGGCCCTGGGTCCTCAATCCTATGTCCTGTGTCCTTGGTCCTGGGTCCTGAGTCCTGGGCCCTGGGTCCTGGGTCCTCAATCCTGGGTCCTTGGTCCTTGGTCCTTGGTCCTGAGTCCTGGGTCCTCAATCCTGGGTCCTGGGTCCTTGGTCCTGGGTCCTGGGTCCTGAGTCCTGTGTCCTGGGTCCTGGGTCCTCAATCCTGGGTCCTGGGTCCTTGGTCCTTGGTCCTGAGTCCTGGGTCCTCAATCCTGGGTCCTGGGTCTTTGGTCGTCAGTCCTGCGTCCTCAGTCCTGTGTTCTGTGTCCTCAGTCCTGGGTCCTGGGTCCTGAGTCCTGTGTCCTGGGTCCTGGGTCCTCGGTCCTGGGTCCTGGGTCCTGGGTCCTGGGTCCTCGGTCCTCGTGATGTTGCCAACATCCGGGAAGCAGAGGCATGGATGTGGGCTCCGAGGAGGCAGCAGCCCCAAGAGCCCCCGACGCCCCACCTGCCGTCAGCCCCCGTCCTCTCCCTGCCACCCACTCCCACTCCCACTCCCACACCCACTCCGACCCCGGGGAGTAGGAGCCCAGAGAGCAGTGGAGAAAGGCCCTGGGTGTCGGAGAGGAGGCCTGGCAGTGGGCCCGGGGGTGGGGGAGAGAATTGCCCGCAAAGTGACTTCTGGAGCCCGCCTGCTTCCAGCGCGTCTTCTCAACCTTGGCCTGAGCTAATGAACCTCAGAGAGCAAAGCTGTCTTTTGTTTGTTTGTCATTTTGAGGTTTTCTGGTTGATTAAGATCTGAGCCAGCAGGAGGGTTTAAAATCACCAGCAATTCTTAGTTTGAGGATCACAGGGCATTTTCATCCCCTCCTGACAAAATGCTGAACTTAATATAAAAACGTGGTCCCCTCCACTTTAGATGAGAGAAATTGTTAAAAGGTTTTTTTTTTCCTTTCTCCTTTTTCCATTTGAATTGTTATTTTTTCCCTCCTCTTATCATTTTCTGCTTTGTTTCACACCCCCTGTAAATCAGGTTTCTTTTAAAAGAGCAAAAATTGAATTCTTAGTTACAGACAAAAACTACAAATGAATCTCTCTTTGAATGAGGCCAAGGGAAGGAAAAAAATAATATATATATATATATATATGGTTAGTGGGTGACACTTTGAGGTTTATTTTTTCTCATCAAACCTTGGTCTTTTCTTTTCCGTGGACCATTTTGTCTCCCTCCCACCAATGCCTACCGTGCATCCTTGAAACCCCTAACTCTTGCCGGAAAAAAAAAAAAAAAAAAAGAATGCAGCCCTCAGAGCTCCTGTTTTCTGGGGGAATGTAATCATCTAAGCTGGCATGGATCCAGAATTCAGCTACCCCTGGAAGGGATTTCTTATGAAAGATTAAGTGGTTAGCACGGATGTCAGCCGTGCTCCCAGCCCTGGAGTCATCCTGAGCAAACAGGGAGAAGGCGACAGGGCCCGGCTCCAGCCTGGAAGCTTCCCCGGCTCTTTCTTGCCCGGGTTGGCACAGCTCTTGAACTTGTCCTGGCCTTGAGTGGTGGCAGGCAGGAGCCACATGGCGGGGACAGCCGGTCATCCGCGGGGGCCTTAGGGGAATGGGAGCCCGGGAGGGAGCCCGGGGAGCCGCGGGCCAGCAGGCGGCCGGGAGCCCGGGGGCTCAGGGATGCTGCGCGGCCCCTGGGCCCGGCCCTCGCGGCGCCCTTGGCCTTGGCCGGCATGGCAACACTGCCCTCTGCTGGAGCAGCGCTGTCACCGCGCCCCACCTGGGCCCTGCCGTGGTCCAGGACCTGGGCGCGGGAGGGGGATGCGGGGCCAGGATGGAGGGGAGGGGAATGCGGGTCCAGGATGGGGGGGGTCGGGAGGGGGACTGGTTCAGGATGGGGGGGGCGGAGGATGCGGGCCCAGGATGGAGGGGAGGGGAATGCGGGTCCAGGATGGGGGGGCCGGGAGGGAGATGCATGTCCAGGATTGGGGGGAGGGGGATGCTGGTCCAGGATTAGGGGGGAGGATGCGGGTCCAGGATGGGGGGGCCTGGAGCAGGATGCGTGTCAAGGATGGGCATGGAAGGCGAATGCGGGTCCAGGATGTGGGGAGGTAGGGGGATGCGGGTCCAGGATGAGGGGCTGGGAGGGAGATACGAGTCAAGGATGTGGGGGCCGGGAGAGGGATGCAGGTCAAGGATGGGGGGCACCGGGACAGGGATGCAGGGAGGAGAACAGCCCGACACAAAGCAACCTCCAGAGTCAGCTCTCACGTGGCCGGCCTGTCAAGCGTCCCCGTCCCTGATGTCAGCCTTGAGCCGGGGCTTTGGAATCAGCGCTGTCATGCATTTGCTAGGGGACCCTGGGCACGGTCCCTATGTTCTGAGCTTCAGCACAGAGAAAGTCACCTTACATTTCGGGGCTTTGGAGAAGAGACAATGAATGACACCTCTTCGGCAAGTGTGACCATACCTCCCGGACTGCCCACCGCGGTCTCAGTTCACCCCGTGGTCCCAATGCCAGTGCTGACAGCACCCCTTGTCGTTCTCCGGGTGATATGTGGCATGGTCATCCTAGGGCACCCTGCAGGTGGAGGAGTTACTCAGTGAAGCCTACTTCCTCTGTCCTTTATCAGGCCGCTGGTGTTTTTTGTTTTTTTCTTTTAAGATTTTTATTTATTTATTCGAGAGAGAGAGGGAGAGAGAGGGAGAAGCAGACACCCTGCAGGGAGCCCAATGTGGGCCTGGATCCCAGGACCCCGGGGTCACGCCCTGAGCCGGAGGCAGGCTCACCCACAGAGCCCCCCGGGGGTCCCCAGGCTGCTGGTCTTCCAACCTGAATGTGCATGTCCGCTTTTAAAGGACCAGGTAATGCGGTTTCCTTTCCCTTTCTTTCTGTAAGAGAGAGAAAAAAAAGACACAAGCTCTCCTGCATTCAGACTTAGAAAGTAACACAGCTCGGGGAGGAAGAGTCCGTGGCGAAGAAGGTAGGCCACATAGGAGGACCAGCCAGGCCAACGACGCCCAGGGATATCCTGAGAAAACCCCGTCACCCCGTCTGCTGCCTCTCGAAGAAGGGAAGGCACGTTTTTCCTTGGGGGGAGGCCGGCGGCAAGGCCCAAATGCAGCAGGGTGGCAAGGCAGTGCTAGACGTCATCTCATTTTCAATGGATACCAACGATCCATGGTTGGGAAAATGCCTCTTAGAGAGAAGATGCAGAATTCCAGCATGCATGGGTACAGAGCTATGGAGTACGCGTTTATTTCTTCCAAGCCTGAGAAATGTGGGGAATTCTTGAAATGTCTACCACTATGATAGCTCAAATCAGCGACAATGGCCAAATTTTGTTGCGTCAACATCCCTGACGGGAAGCTGGCGCCAATGCCAGGGTAGCAGCTGATCTGCATGTCTATTTACATACATTTGCATTGGTGTGATGTTAAAAAATAAAGGCTGATATTAAGGAAAGTGGTTTTCCCCCAGTGTTAGTCATCCCCACAGAGCAGCAGTGGCCACGAGCACGGACTCTGGAAACTGGCCTCTTACCTTCTATGTGTGTGACCTTGATGATGAGTTATAACCTTGTGCTGCTTCCTCGTCTAGAAATGGGAATAGCAAAAATACCACCTACTAGAGGACTGGTGCAAGGATTAAATGAGCTAATGTGTATGAAGGGTTTAGAGAGTCGCCGGGCCTATTAAGTGCTCAGGTATTAGCTGCTATTATTATCCTAGGGTTCGTCTATTGTCTCCTACTATCAACCTTTGTAACGAGGCCTCTGCTTTCTTCCTTCTATAAATCATAAAAGTTGGAAATTTGGGGCTGGGAGGGATCTCAGAACATCTAATCAGTCACTTTCAAACTTTCATTTTGTTCCTTTTAAAATAACCATGGAACACTTTCTGGAAATGAAAGCTTGTGTGGAAACCCAGCATGGGGGGCCATGTAGCATTGTGGTTAAGAAAATGGGCTTTGCAGACGGACAGGTCTGATTTCCAGTTCTGGCAAAGCTGCCTATTAGCCTGGCGACTCGGGGCAGATGATGATTTACCTTGGCTTTAAGCCTCCATTTTGTAAAGTGCAAAATAGCAATCGTAATTGTAAATATTTCGTAGGGTTGATATGAAGCTAAAGGACTTCGCACCTATAGAGTGTTTGGTGCAAGGGCTGGACCCAGTTGTGTTAACTCCTGAGGTTTCAACCTGTGCAATAGATACAAGCAGAGGCCTGTCCAGGTGAAGCAGGGCAGAGAACTAGGAGCGCAGGGCGAGGGGCCGAGGGGGGTGCTCCCGGGGAACTCCTGTGACTTTGCAGAAGGCAGTTTAAAAGCTCCAGGTTGCGGCACCTGGAGCAGTTGGCTGAGTGTCTGGGTCTTGATTTCTGCCCAGGCCATGCTCTCGGGGTTGTGAGACGCAGCCCCGTGTCCAGCTCTGTGCTCAAGATTCTCTCTCCCTCTCTCTCTGCCCCTTCCACCCATGCTTTCTCTCTCTGTCAAATAAATAAATACATCTTAAAAGAAAAAAAAAAACATCCTGGGGATCCCTGGGTGGCTCAGCAGTTTAGCGCTGCCTTCAGCCCAGGGAGTCATCCTTGGAGTCCCAGGATCGAGTCTCACATCGGGCTCCCTGCATGGAGCCTGCTTCTCCCACTGCCTGTGTCTCTGCCTCTCTCTCTGTCTATGCCTCTCATGAATAAATAAATAAAATCTTTAAAAAAAAAAAACATCCTGATTTAAGCCAACATCTGGTGAACCCAGTTCCAGAGAGCCTCCAGCCCCTGACCACACCGCTTCCTCTCGTAGCCAGGGTTCTAATTCCGCCACCATCACTGGCTGTGTGTTTGCCCTTCCTTCCCCTTGCCCTTCAAACCACAACACAGAGCCTTCCTCTTCGTTTTAAACACCTTTTCCCGGGACCTATTAAGCTGAGTAAAGGTGTATGACATCCCCTGTGGCTGGCTCCCAAAGGGCCAAAGTGTCCTGAACTCGCACTTCTAACATCTCCTGCTCCCTCCCTGAGCCTTCAACAGCTCACAGCCGGAGGGAGAATGAGTCATTTTGTTAAAAATAAAAACACTACCATCTTCCGTCTAATGGCTTTGTTCATGATCACTGCAGGCTGGCTCTGAGATGCATGCCAAGCAGCCAGGGACAGCCAGTGGGCAGCCCGGGAAGCTGGCCTACCTGAAGTCACAGCTTTGCCATCGTCTCTGCTCTGCTGAATTGCAGGGACCCAGCCACCCCCACATCGGCTCGGTCGTGGGTGATGTGAGGGCCTGAACAACATCAGCCTGGGGTGGGGTGAAGGCCATGCTCCCCAGAGGAGGGCCAGTGTAGACCCAAGAGCCGCCTCCTCGGAGGACAGAGGATAAGATTCATAATCCACAGGGAGCTCCTCTAGTCTCTTGTTTTACAGGAAACCAGAAAAGGAGAGTAGCTTCTCCAGGCTCCCCGAGCTGCGGGCAGGAGAAGCAAGACAAGAATTCAGGGTTCCTGTCTATAATTATAACACCTTCTGCATCTGCTGCTCTCACTTTCACACGCTGCGCAGCTCAGTCCTATGGGGGTGACGCTATTATTGTTCCCGTTTTGCAGATGAGAAAACTGAAGCTCCGGGAGGTTAAGTCACTCGCCTGAGCCTCCCCAAGCTGGGACGCAGTGAAGGAGGATATAACATTAGTTCATCTGGGTCCAGAGCCTGGTTTCTCAAGCACCAGATGCTCGCGGGTTGGGCGGTGGAGAGTGTTTATTCGCCCGTGCAACTGCTGAAAGAGCAGGGACCACGTCTTGTCCGTGGCTGACTCCTCGGTGCTTAGTACGGTGCCTGGAGGGGAGCGGGCATTCCCTAAGTAGCCACCGAGTTTCCGCGTGCTGACCATGAATGTTGGCTCCACCGGGGTCTTGCCCCTCCAGGTGAGGGTGTGGGTGATATGACTCTCTGGCCGCTTTGGGGCGATATCTCACTTTGGGGTGACGTCTGTCTACTTTCCCCATAAGACCCTGTCTACATACCTGACCCTTGCTCCGGTTTAGGAGAGGCTAATAAGAAGTGTTCGGGCCGAACTGGGAGCTACGGAAGCACAGCGACAGTGCACCGTCCACTCTGGAAAAGTCACACCTGTTCACTGGACCTGGACTAACTCAGCAAGAAGGAGACCAGATGGTGTTCAAGGTCCCCAACTGACAAGAGCTCCCATCAGGTGTGGCGTAGGTAGGTTTTCTCAACCTCAGCGTGATGGACACTGAGAGCTGAATGAACCCCTTGCTGGGGAGACCCGTCCTACGCACCAGAGGAGTCTTAGCAGCATGCCCAGCCTCTACCCATCAGAGGCCGGTAGCACTTGCCCAGTTGTGACCAATGAAAATGTCTTCAGAAATTGTCAAATATCAGGGCGCCTGGGTGGCTCAGTCAGTTAAGCATTTGACCTCAGCTCAGGTGATGATCTCGGGGTCCTGGGACTGAGCCCTGCATTGGGCTCCCTGCTCAATGGAGAATCTGCTTTGCCCTCTGCCCCACCCCTGTTCATATTCTCTCTCTCTTTAAACTAAATAAATAAAAATTAAAATATCTAGAACAAGAAGGAGGAAGAGGAGGAGACGGAGAAGATGGAGAAGATGAAGACGAAGAAGATGAACATGATGAAGACGAAGATGAAGACAAAGAAGATGAAGACGAAGAAGACGAAGACGATGAAGAAGACAAAGAAGATGAAGACAAAGACGACAAAGAAGGAGAAGACGAAGATGAAGAAGACGAAGAAGAAGACGAAGACAAAGAGAAGAAGAAGAAGAAGAAGAAGAAGAAGAAGAAGAAGAAGAAGAAGAAGAAGAAGAAGAAAAGAAGAAGAAGAAAAGTGTCAAATATCTCTTGGGGAAGGAGGGAAAAAAGACCCTGGTAGACAATAACCCAAGTTCTGCCCTGATGTGGACATTCTCTGCCTCAGGGTCCCTTTGTGGGTCCCTCATCCTCTCTGGGCCTGACCTCTCACCTGCAAAAGGAGGCTGTTGTCCTACTCGTCTAGGACGGTAGATGGGAACGCGCCGCAGCTGTGGTCCCTTCCTGCCCGTGCCAGGGTGGAGGTGACCATTCGCTGAGAGCACGGGGGCTACGGGGTGTGAGTGTCAGAATCCTTTACGCGGAGACACTATTGTGTAAATTGGTAAAACTCCACCATGATGCTTACAACTCAGGGGAAATCGTGTCGGGTCCAGTGCAGACCTGCCACCAGCTCCAGATGCCCACACGGCAAGTTCCTGACTGTCATGTACCTTCGTGTACACCAGCCCAACTCCCAGCTCGTGACACACGACTCTAGGGCCATCTTTTTTGCTTTGAATAGCTGTTACCTCTGACAGGAGTATCCATCTCTCCACCATGTATGATAAACTCTGGATTTCATTGGTGCAAACTGGGGTTCGCTCCCCCCAAGCAGTCCCCCTGGCCCGCCTGCACACACACTGAGCCTCTGGGCCTTTCCTGTGTGGCACAGCGGCCGCCGCAGGTGAGACCCGGATGCGTAGCCTTACTCCTGGGTGTTTCTTCATTTGTGAGACATGGCTCTGTTCCTCTGGAGAACCCCGAGGGACCTGCACGTCATCATCATCACCGTCATCACCGCGGTTGTTCACAGACCGTTCAGTCCAACGTGCGGTGGCAGACGCGGTCCTAGACCCCGGGTTTGTAAGAATCAGACACCGCTTCTCAGCGAGGATCGAGGGCTCATCGTACGTCTCTCCGCTCCGTGGCCACAAGCTCCTCCTAGGAAGCGAGCGTAGCGCTCCCCGGCCCCCTGGCTCCCGGGGACCTGCTGAGTGCCTCCAGCGGGAGCAGCCATGGAGGAGCCCTTTGTAACGTCAGAAGTCTCTCCATCCCCGTAAGCACCATTACTTAGGGTAGAATCAGGAAGACAGTCACCTGCTGTGTAGATGCTACACGCTCCGGAGCCGGGATTTTGCCCGCGTGGTCCACTGCTGGACACCTGTCGGCTCAAGCGGGGCCTTGTTGGGAGAATAAATCCAAGGCCTTACTTCCCTCGTCTCCGGCTCACGAGGCCGGGATGACTCCTTTGCACGTTCACAGGGTTACGGAGATAAATACTCCAACACAGGAGGAAACCCAAACCTGTCCAAACTTGGATAGGTTCACAGAGCTTTCTGTGAATCCTCCTGGAGCAGTTGCTTCCAGATTTCCTTTGAGGGGCAGGCCGGCTTGTCGCTTCTCCTACTCTCTCTTTTTCTAACTCTTCTGGAAAACCTGACATCTCTTGGAGATGGCCACTGACAAAGAATTGGCCATGAGTATTTTGAGTAAAAGTCTAGTGTAATGGGCAGACCCTCGGGCCCGGGGTCTCGGTGTTCGGCTTGGCCTTCTCCCAGCCTCTGACTCACTGCGAGTCATCTGAGAGGCACCGTCCCTTCCTCCACTCAGTTTTCCCACCTGTGAAGTGGGACAGATGGAATAACGCTGAATGGTCTGACCAGATGTAACACTCTCGAACAAAGGAAGGAGCACTTCTCTTTGTTTGTCCCAACTCCTCCCTCCGGAGGAAATCAAGGGCCCAACAGGGACCTGGTGCCACGTATCCAGACGACAGAGCATCTTCATGGGGTCGCTGCGGCAGCCTGAGCCCTCGAATGGTGCAGCCAAGTGTCCCCGTGTCCTGATTAGAAATGACAAGGGATATAACAAAAGACCCAACTTTGTGACAGCAGCTGGGGCCCCACGTTTGGCTCAAGCATGGTGGAGGCGCGGTGCCAGGGCCGTATTCCAGGCAGTTAGAAGAAATACCAGCATCTATTTGCCAACTAATAACAGAATATCATTGAAACACCGTCCGGCCAGAGCCTGCTCGCTGGTCCCCCCGGGGCCTGGCTGAGAGCAGGCTTCTCTGCCCTCTTCTCATTACCTGCTAATATGGGATGAACATCTACCTTCGCGTGGCACGAGCTTGGCGACAACGGGACTTGCTCCCTCAAGATTCTCTCTTCCGACACAGAAATGCGTGCATCTCCCCGCCTGATGTTTGGGCTCAGAGGTTCCAACTTCTTGCTTCTCCCTGCATCCCACCAGGGGTCAGGGAGCCAGGAAACCTAACCCCAAATCTCGCATCTGCCGTTTCTTCCTGGCGTCATCTTGGACTCCTCCTCTGAGTCTCCGTCTTCATACCCATTTGTGCCTTCTCCTTCCGGTTCCCGGGGTTACGAGATAATCAAACTGTCCCATGCATTTTACAGTGCATTATAAACGACGACAATATCGCACGAATGTTCATGTGTTTCGGGGGGGTCTGAATGGCTATTTATGTTTTACAAAAACCTCTTTACTTCCTCAGATTTCCCATATCGGGTGCCAGGAAAGTCTACCTGTGCGAAATAATAAATGTTCTCTAGAGGAAAAAAAAAATTAAGGGTTTACAGAAAACATAATATGGAATTTTCAATGATGCGAATTTCGTTATGCACACCTCCTCAGTGCCTTTAAGCTAGAAATATTATCCGACCACAGAAGCTTTTGTTTTCCCTTGGAAATACGCTCTTGTCTATTCTAGAACTAGGCTGGCAGGAAGTAAAATTTGTTACTGAACTACACTCCCTTCTATTAAGACAAGTGAATTATAACAACTGCTTCAAAACTGGGAAAAAAAAAAAAAAAGCTGGGGGAGTCTAAGGAAGACAAAGAAATCAGATCCTTCCATTTCTTCCCAGGCTCCGGAGTTGCTTTCCCTTGCATGTTTCTTTTTCCTTCTTCCTCCCTCCAACCACCACCCTCTCCGGATCGCTTGGTAACCTGCCATGGATACAAATCCTCGTGCCCCTCCCCGGGCCTACGGAATCAGAAACAAGCCCTGCAAAGTGGTTCTGACGCACACCGACATTGCACTTAAACCCGCCGATTCGGTTGCCTATTAATCGTGCCCTCAAAAAAAAAAAAAAAAATCGTGCCCTCGTTCGATTCCAAAAGTTCCAGCTTGGACAATAAATTCCACGGTTACCCTAAATAGAGCTACGTTGGCCCAAATATTTTGTTAGGAACTTCTGTTCCTGTCGGCAAACAGCAGCTGCGCCCTCGCACACGCACACACACACGCACACCTGGGCCGCCCGGCCTCCCCCGCCACGACACAATGGATAAATAGACAATTCCAAAAAAAAAAAATTCGACAATTCAGCTCCTAAGGATTTCATGCCGGGCGCTCCGTCTACTGCCCCGGCCCGGCCCCCCGAGGGTCGGGGCCTGCTTCATGACAATCCAAGGAGAAGGTGTCAAGAGCTCGGCGGCCGCCCCACAGGAGGAGGCCGATAAACGGCTGCTACGTACATTCATCTTCCTTTGCTGCCGTGTTCCCCGTGTCAGGAGCCGTGGCGGGGTCTGGGCATTAAGAAGTGAGGTCCGATCCCCGGGTGGCTCAGCGGTTGAGCGTCTGCCTTCAGCCCAGGCCGTGACCCCGGGGTCCTGAGATCGAGTCCCGCATCGGGCTCCCTGCATGGAGCCTGCTTCTCCCTCTGCCTGTGTCTCGGCCTCTCTCTGTGTCTCTCATGATAAATAAGAAGTGAGGCCCGCGGTCAGGACCCCTTCCCTCAGGGCTCCGGATCTGGTGGCCCGGGGTGGCCTCGAGTCAGGCTGTGGGTGATGGGGGACGTCGGGGGGGAGGCCACAGTCCCGGGGGTACAGGCACCTGCAGGCAGCTGGGCTGGGAGCAATGCGGGAGAACTGGGGGTTTGAGGGGAGAGGCGCGGCCGCCGGCGGGGACCCACCTATCAACACAGGGTGTGTGGACCCTTCGGGAAGGTCTGATCACCACTGAGGCCATGGGGAGCCGGGGGAGCATGTGGCCAGGAGGATTTTCTGGATCCATGTGTGGTTGCGCCGATGGGGGGAGACCAGGGCAGGGAAGGGACCCCAGGAATAACCGGGTGGGCCCCGCTGGGTGGCCCCCACCCCGCCGTCGAGCTTCGCTCCCTGGAGTCTAGGACGGTGGTCGGGGTGTTCTCTCTCTCTCTGTCACCAACATCACAGGATTTTGTTTCAGAAAAGAAACCAGCAGCACTCTGCCCTCCCTCCCCGCACCCCCCCACCAGGCCCTGGGAGCCCCAGAAGAGCTCCGGCCTCCGGAGTCTTGCCCTCTTTACGGCCTTGACCCTGAGCCTCCGGCGAGACCTCCACCAAACGGAATATTTATCAGCTCACCTAAATACCGGGTATTTGGATATCGCTACACTGCATCTCCCGGTTACTGGGATCTACGAGGATATGCTCGTGTCCCCCCCCCCATATCTGGACGGGGCCACAGTTCCTGGCTCGCAGCTCCCAGAAGGCTGGGGGCTTCCTGAGGGGTCGCAGCACCGGGAGTATCCTTTGTTCCATTCGATTTCCTCCTAATTCCTGAGATGTTTCAAAGCCACGAAGGTGAAGTGGGGGGTCCCCTTGTTCGGAACAAGCCCCTTGCCACCACGACTGGGTTTATGCTAATGAGGGGATTTTTGGAAAGCACCCAAGGATGGGGCCTGGTTACCAGGGAAACCAACCTTGTGATTAGAGGGGTCGGTTCTGGTTTGGGGGGGCAGCTAGAGGGTGAGTCGATCACCAATGGCCAGTGGCTTAATCACTCATGCCGTGTAATGAAGCCTCCATAGAGACCCAGGAGGGACGCCTGGGCGGCCGTAACTGAGCATCTGCCTTCAGCTCAGGCCGTGACCCCGGGGTCCCGGGATCGAGTCCCGTGTCGGGCTCCCCGCACGGAGCCTGCTTCTCCCTCTGCCTGGGTCTCTGCCTCTCTCTCTCTGTCTCTCTCTCTCTCTCTCTGTTTCTCTCATGAATAAATAAAATTAAAAAAAAAAAAAGGATGGGCTTCAGAGAGCTGCTGGCCCTCCCCTCCCCTGCCCTGTGCCTGCCTCCCCTCCGGCTCTCCCCGGGTTACATACTGTTATAAGAAACCGGTGACCTGCTGAGTCGAGTGTTCCCAAAAGATCCGGGAGCCGGTGTCACGCAGTCGCCGGCCGAGGAGCGGGTGGTTGGGGCGCAGTCAGGCACCTGGAGGACAGAGGGGCTTGGGCAGGGGCGGGGTGCAGGGCTGTGTCCCCGGCCTCACGGGTCACGGAGGGCTCTGGGGCCCGCTCGGGGTGGGACACTCAGCCAGGGTGGGCTCACCTGTCCGCGTGGATGTGCCGCTCCATACCTGTGCCCACGCAGCCCGGACCTGGGAGCAGCATCCTAGTTACCTGGGTCCCCCCGCAGCGGCCCCCAAAGGGTGAGCGCCCCGGGGAACACTCGGAACTGAGGCTGAGCCGGTGACTGTGGTCGTTTGTCTCCAGTCGCATTCTCCTCCACATCGCTGCTGCCCCGCTCACATGTCTGTGTCAGCAGGACACGGGGGGCGGGTGACAGGTGGGGCCACGCAGGCACCTGTGACCCAACTCACCCCCCAGGCACCTGTGACCTGATTCACCACCTGCACCTGTGACCTAGTCACCAAGTCTCCCCCCAGGCACCTGTGATCGAGTCACTGCCTGGGCACCTGTGACCCAAGTCACTGAGTCACCCCTCGGGCACCTGTGACCTGAGTCACTGAGTCACTGCGCAGGCACCTGTGACCCGAGTTGCTGAGTCGCTTCCCGGGCACCTGTGACCCGAGTCGCCGAGTCATCCCCCGGGCACCTGTGACCCAAGTCACCCCCCAGGCACCTGTGACCGGAGTCACCGAGTCATGCGGGCCTCCTGCCCAGGAGCAGGCGGCGGGGCTACTGGTGGGGAGCCGGGCACTGACCTCCCTCCAACACTGCATGCGCCTTTTTCGCTTCTGTGCTGCGCGTCCACCTGTCACAGGAGAGAAGGGGGGCGGCGCCCGGTTCATGGCTTTCCCTCCGCGGCCTGAGAGTCCTGGGCCACAGACAGGCCCCGGCCCTACGGAATGAGGTAATGAGCTACGGGGCGGTATCTCAGTCGTTGGCTCTGCATTTCCAGAGCTCTGTGTGCTCATGGCATTTCAAATAACCCGAATTCCTTTCTTTTTTTTTTTAATTTTTTTTATTTTTTTTTAAAGATCTTATTTATTTACTCATGAGACACAGAGAGAAAAAGAGGCAGAGACACAGGCAGAGGGAGAAGCAGGCTCCATGCAGGGAGCCCGATGCAGGATTCGATCTCAGGACCTCGAGATCATGACCTCAACCAAAGGCAGATGCTCAACCGCTGAGCCACCCAGGCGTCCCTCTTTTTTTTAAGCCGAGTTAATTTCTTAATATATAATATGGGAATGCCCCCTCACACAAAAGAAATAATTGCTACACAAATACAGAATAAAAATAAACAGGGGCGCCTGGGTGGCTCAGTCAGCGGAGCGATTGACTCTTGATGTCGGTTCAGGTCATGATCTCAGGGTCCTGGGATCGAGCTCCGCGAGGGCTCCGTGCTCAGTGCAGAGTCGGCTTGGGATTCTCTCTCTCCCTCTCCCTCTGCCCCTCTCCCCTACTCGTGCTCTCTCTCTCTCTCTGTCTCTCAAATAAATAAGATCTTGAAAAATAAATAAACAGGGACGCCTGGGTGGCTCAGTGATTGAGCGTCTGCCTTCGGCTCAGGGTGTCCGGGTCCTGGGTTCGAGTCCTGCATCAGAGCCCGCTTCTCCCTCTGCCAGTGTCTCTGCCCCTCTCTGGGTAAATAAATAAATAAAATCTTAAAATACGTAAATAATAAACTCAGCAGACGCCCACGAAGTCAAGCAGGGGGAGTAAGTGTGCTGGTGCCATTTTCACTAACTTGCTGACATTGTGAACCTGTCACTCAACCCCTTTGAGCCTCCAGTGACCCATGTGTTAAACGGGGGTCGCCCCACCTCACTACCTCTTGCGTCCAAAGGCTCACAGTTTGGGGCAATCCACCTCATCCTAATGAGTTATCACAACCCCTCTCGCGTGCAGACTGATTTACAACTTACCCAGTACTTGTTAAAGAGCATTATTTCCCAGACTCATAAAATTTCAGAGGTGAGCCTCACCGAGGAACACATCCAGTGGTTTGTACACCCGGCTTCACGCTCCCGGGCAAGAAGAGCCCAGGAGACACGACGGCAGCCCGTGATCTCCTAACAATATTTCAAAACTGCTAACGGGAATCATATATTTCCCCAATAAAATCAGACTTTAATTGCTTTTGGTGGGAATTATATCAACTAAAATTGGTACTTATTGGAAAACTAATTATCCCTTAATAAATGTAACTTAATAGACATGACCTCTTGAAACATTCACTGGGTGGGGGTGGGTGTGGTCTATGGAAAGAAAAGTCGTAGGAGCAAAACTTAGGAGTGAAGTGATGAAGGCGTTGGATGACCCCGAATTTTAAAGAGAGCCCCCCATTTTAAAGATGAGCACAGGGAAGCCCAAAGAAGCAAGCGGAACCCGGAACCTCCTCCTCTTCTCGGCCCCTACCCTAGATCAGGCCTTGTCCCTCCTCTTGGGGATGCGTGCACAGGTCCCGGCTGCTACGGGCCTCTACGGCCCCTCCCGTCGCCCTTCAAACTGCAGCCCAAGTGGCCTCTTTGGTGCAGAGCCCTCTCACCCTCTGACGGATGAGCGTCCCCTACGTCTCCTCACCGCCCTTAGGACAGAGGCACGCTCCTCTCCCGGCGCGCAAGGCTCCTCGCGACCTGGCCGCACCATCCCTCGAGAGTCACCTCATGCTGCAGCCACACCTAATGGCTTTTGGGTCCTCAAGGCACCGGGCCTCCCACCACCCCTTGTGCTTTGAACAAAGTATCCTTTCTTTTTTTTTTTAATAAATTATTTTTTTATTGGTGTTCAATTTACCAACATACAGAATAACACCCAGCGCTCATCCCGTCAAGTGCCCCCTCAGTGCCTGACACCCACTCACCCCCACCCCCCGCCCTCCTCCCCTTCCACCACCCCTAGTTCGTTTCCCAGAGATAGGAGTCTTCATGTTCTGTTTTCCGAATGCCCTTCCTCTCTTGTTCACCTGCCACCCTAACTCACCCATCACGTGGCAGCTTCATCACACCTCCTCCAGGGAACCTTCCCTGCACAACAGCTTGGGTGCCTGCTTGGGGCCTGTCAGCGCCGCCGGCCTCCACCTGGCACGCGCTTCTCCTACCCGGTGTCCATCTCGTTTGGAGGTTAGATGGCGCAGTGAACACGACGTCCCCAAGATCTCACGGCAGAGGCAGGAGGCAGATGCTAGGGCTTCTCCCGGCCCAAGGGCTCTGTGTGCTGGAGAACATCGCCAGGGCTCTGAGAACCTCAAGCATTCGGCTTTTCCCTCCATAGAGCACACATTTTGAGAAGAAAGAAAAAATGTTGTTCAACATGGAATTTATTAAGGGATCACTTTAGGACTGCCAGAGAGGAAAGAAGGCAGGCCTGTAGGGACCTTAGAAATTGGATTTTGTCCTCCAGACTGGAAACCTACAGGCAAGATTTAAGAGCAAAATCCCAAAGTGGGGCCTCCTAGACAGAGGCACGTAGAGCAGCTTTGCCACAAACCCTGTACAGGTGCCAACGAGGCCACAGAGACCCCGTCTCTTGCGTGGGAGGGAACCCAGCTAACAAGCTGAGGGCCCTGGGCCCATCATGTCAGGCTCCCTCAAAGGGCGTTGTCCTCTGGCCTCTCTGGTTTCTGAGACCTGCAAGTACAATGTCAGGCGGAGAAGCCAGCAGCTGCTTTTACCTGCTTACACGTACAGACCCAGCACCCACCAGGGCTTTGTCCTTTAAAGAACACTGATCCACCTTCAGAAGCTCCAGGTTCCGGCCTCTAGTTGCTGCTTTAAGGACAAAAAAAAAAAAAAAAAAAAAAAAAAAACGGTACCAGGTAGGAGGATCTCCAAGCTCATAATCAGAAGACCCAGTGATTGCAATAATGAGAGACTCTATACTTAATTCACAAGGTACTTTAATCTGCATTATTAGGACTTGAACAACCCTGGACAGTTGACAAGCCAAGGACATCTAGTATAGTGTCATTTTTCAAATGAGCAAAACCAAGACCTAAAGCACGTTAATTGACTTCCCTGAAGTCTGTCGGACTCAGGTATGAAGGGTCTCTCGAACATGGCAATCGGCCTGACAACGTCAGGCTTTACCCTGACCTTGCTGTGCAATATTGGGCAAGTTACTCAACCTTACTGGTCTCCACATTCCTCGTCTACAAAAGGGGGATTAAATTATCAATCTCTCAGCCCCTCTCCTGGGGGGGGGGCTCAGCAGTTGAGCATCTGCCTTCAGCTCAGGTCATGACCCCGGGGTCCTGGGATCGAGTCCTGCACCGGGCAACCTGCATGGAGCCTGCTTTTCCCTCTGCCTGTGTCTCTGCCTCTCTCTGTGTCTCTCATGAATAAATAAATAAAACCCTTATAAATAAATAAATAATCACTCTCTCGTGGTCATTGTGAGATGAAGTAAGATAAAGTGACCTACTGCAGTAATGTACACACTCTGATATTCAATACCTGGAACTTAAGGATGCTCATCCTCTGACTGTAAATCCCTTTATCCTTTCTGATCATCCTGCTTCAGACATGCTTTAGGGCTACAATTTTTCCATCAATAAAGGAGGTTCCAGTGACCTTACACCACCTCTCTGAATCTCAGTTCCCAGCTCTAAGTTGGGAGGAATAATTACAGCTTCTCCCTTATAGGGTTATTCTGAGGAATGAAGTAGATAATGCTTAGAAAGCACTTAAGACCATGGCTGGCTCATAGCCAGCACTAAATGTAAATTAACTATTATCACTGTGGTTGTTGCTAATGTTAATATTATTAGTCCCTCCTGTTATAAAATGGGATATATACCCTCTCACTCAGTAAAGTGATCGAAACCCAGTCCTGTTTGGATCAAATGGAGATCAGAAAGTGCCTGTAGTTTCACTACCAAAGCCCCCCCCCCTCCCTTTTCCTTCCTTCAGCTGGTTTTAGAGAACCACAGACTCTAAGGCCCAGAAAGATTTTCATAGCCCATCCTCTTGACCGATTCTCCAGCGTTCGCGTTCTCTCTACAACGTCC